CTTGCTAGTTGCCCCTGAGGGAGACCCGGATGCACCAGACATCCCGACCCCGCGCTCTTACGCAGAGGCGATGGCAGGTCCCTACTCCTCTCAGTGGCAGACAGCCATGGACGCAGAGATGGCTTCCTGGAAGTCCACACGCACCTACGTCGATGAGGTTCCCCCTCCTGGGGCGAACATCGTCAGTGGCATGTGGATTTTCAGGGTGAAGCGGCCGCCGGGTTCTCCGCCTGTCTTCAAGGCACGTTACGTGGCTCGAGGCTTCAGTCAGCGAGAGGGAGTTGACTTCTTCCAGACCTTCTCCCCCACCCCGAAGATGACTACTCTTCGGGTGCTGCTGCACATAGCCGCTCACCGCGACTACGAGCTTCACTCACTTGACTTCAGCACTGCTTTCTTGCAGGGCAGCCTGCACGAGGAGATCTGGCTGCGCCGCCCACCTGGCTTCACTGGGTCGTTTCTTCCTGGTACCCAGTGGAGGCTTCAGCGGCCGGTCTACGGTCTCCGCCAGGCACCGCGTGAGTGGCACGACACACTGAGGACTACACTTGCGGCTCTTGGGTTCGCGCCTTCTACAGCTGACCCGTCGCTGTTCCTGCGCACCGACACTTCGCTGCCGCCGTTCTACATCCTCGTGTACGTCGACGACTTGGTCTTTGCCACTGCTGACACTGCAGGACTCGCCTACGTGAAGTCGGAGCTGCAGAGGAGACACACGTGCACAGACCTGGGTGAGCTGACAAGCTATCTTGGCTTGCGGATCACCCGGGACAGAGCACGGCGCACCATCACCTTGACTCAGTCACACATGGTGCAGCAGGTTCTCCAGCGCTTTGGCTTCACGTACTCCTCGCCTCAGTCCACTCCTCTGCCTACCGGTCACTCGCTCTCAGCTCTGCCTTCGGATGAGTCCGTAGAGCCGAGTGGCCCGTATCCAGAGCTTGTGGGCTGCCTCATGTACCTGATGACCTGCACTCGACCTGACCTTGCATACCCTCTTAGCATCCTTGCACGCTATGTCGCTCCTGGCCGTCACAGGAAGGAGCACATGGATGCCGCTAAGAGGGTGTTGCGCTACTTGTGCAGTACGTCGGGCATGGGGCTTGTACTTGGAGGGCGAGACCGAGTTGTGCTCACAGGGCACTCAGACGCTTCTTGGGCAGACGACCAGGCCACTCAGCGGTCGTCTCAGGGTTACTCCTTCAGCCTTGGCTCTGGCTCAGTTTCTTGGCGCTCTACACGCTCTTCTTCTGTTCTCGGCTCCAGTTGCGAGGCTGAGATCTACGCTACAGCCATGGCTGCACAGGAGCTACGCTGGCTGACCTACCTGCTGACTGACCTTGGAGAGCCGCCTCGTTCTCCTCCAGTACTGTACGTCGACAACAAGGCTGCCATTGCCTTGTGTGAGGAGCACAGACTGGAGCACAGAACGAAGCACATCGCCCTGCGGTACTTCCTTGCTCGAGAGCTGCAGCAGCGCGGTCAGCTTTGTATTCGTTACGTGGCCACTGAGGCCAACACTGCTGATGTGTTCACCAAGGCGCTTCAGCCTCGTGACCATCAGCGCTTCTGCACTCTACTAGGCCTTGTGCCTACTGGACCTCACTTGCTTACCTCTTGACTTTGCTTGTACTGTGATCACTATATATATCTATACCTGCATGTTTACCCTTGCTAGGTTGTGATCACTGTATCTCTGGCTCTGTTATAAACCTGCGTGTGAACTGGTCTTGTGACCACTAGCTTGTGCTCGGAATTTATGTGGAATCCTCGAGATCCACCCTGAGCTTGTTTGCCTTACTTTGCCTTGACTGGTCTTGTGACCCCTAGGTCTCCCCCACTTTGCCTATGGGGGTGTGTCAAACATTATATATGTTGGGTTTGTTAGGCTACAGTGGGTTAGCCTATATGGGGTACACAATTCTAGGGTTTGCTATTTGTACTGATCTCTCTGTTAGTGCATTCATTCTAGTCTCTTCTTGTTAACAAATGTCAGAAGATAGTTCGTGTGACAAGGATTTGGAATGTTAGAAAAATAGAGTGCCACGTGGCGGATAGGAAATGATCGAAATCCGCAAGGGATAGCATGAAGATAAGGTTGGGATGAGGCTTGAGCACTGTCAATAGTAAACCACTCTTGAACAGTAAACTACCCCGGAGCATAGCCCCTCTAATACAAAGGGATGCAGTACGTATTGGAAGCTAATGAGCGGTAAAAATATTTTGAAATAATTCAAACACTTGCGAAGCCTTCCACGCGCTCTCAAAACGGCCAAAGAACACAATCTTGGAAATATATACGTAGTTACAAAAACGGGCTTGTTATCAGAGATGGTCACTCGGCTATCAGGAATGGTTTCAAAATCTGGGTAACCTTGTCAGGAATACTAGGAGTGGGGCCTAGGCTTAGTAGCCTAGGCCCACACATAGAGTAGGTAGGTTGTGCCCTAGAGCTAGGGTTTGGGGTATACGAAGGAGAATTGGAGAAGAGAGAATGGAGGATGATTGAACTAGCAAGCAGGTTGGTACAAATAGGAAACCCTAAAGGGGTTGTACTCACTATTGAGCACCCCACTGCAGGCTAGACAAATAACATAATCTGACACACCCCCATAGTCAAAGTGGGGTGTAATCAGCACAATCAGCAGTCACATCAAAAGTTCACAATTATCAGCAAAGCTAGAGGCTATCACAGAGGGCAAGTGAGGAGGAGGAGGAACTGTGAAGGGAGAGAAGATTGGAGACGACGACTGAAGCTGCAGACACACAGGCGCAGCAGGCTCTCTGAGCTACCAGGACAGTGCGCCCCGGACTACAGGTGCTGCAGCCTCCTCCAACTGTCCCACACCCCCCTACACACATCCCCTGTTTCACCTCTAGCTCCACTCCCACATCACCCCCCTAGCGCCACTCCCTTCGGCTCCCACACCTCCACCCCCCTCAGCGGCAGCTGCAGCAGTGGGAGACGAAGGAGGAGGAAGGGACGACGCACACGGAGCACCCCCATACCTGTCACCCCCACACTCCTGTCCTGGGGACGGGGGGGGTGGGGGGGGGCAGCAGAACAGAACAGAGCGCACGAGGGCGCGGGCAGCAGCAGGGCGCACGAGGGCGCGGGCAGCAGCAGGGCGCACGAGGGCGCGGGTAGTAGTAGAGCGCACGAGGGCGCGGGTAGTAGTAGAGCGCACGAGGGCGCGGGCAGCAGCAGGGCGCACGAGGGCGCGGGCAGCAGCAGAGCGCACGAGGGCGCGGGTAGTAGTAGAGCGCACGAGGGCGCGGGTAGTAGTAGAGCGCACGAGGGCGCGGGCAGCAGCAGGGCGCACGAGGGCGCGGGCAGCAGCAGAGCGCACGAGGGCGCGGGTAGTAGTAGAGCGCACGAGGGCGCGGGTAGTAGTAGAGCGCACGAGGGCGCGGGCAGCAGCAGGGCGCACGAGGGCGCGGGCAGCAGCAGGGCGCACGAGGGCGCGGGCAGCAGCAGGGCGCACGAGGGCGCGGGCAGCAGCAGAGCGCACGAGGGCGCGGGCAGCAGCAGAGCGCACGAGGGCGCGGGTGAGACAGAGCGCACGAGGGCGCAGAGAGCACGGGCAGCTGCTGCAGAGGTCCAGAGGCGGCTGCTCCAGGGGCCAGGGGCGGCTGCTGCAGGGGCGGCTGCTCCAGGTGCCAGGGGCGGCTGCTGCAGCGGCGGGCGGCTCCAGGGGCGGCTGCTGCAGTGGCGGGCGACTCCAGGGGCGGCTGCTGCAGTGGCGGGTGGCTCCAGGGGCGGCTGCTGCAGTGGCGGGCGACTCCAGGGGCGGCTGCTGCAGTGGCGGGCGGCTCCAGGGGCGGCTGCTGCAGGGGCGGCTGCTCCAGGGGCGGCTGCTGCTGTGGCGGGCGACTCCAGGGGCGGCTGCTGCAGTGGCGGGCGGCTCCAGGGGCGGCTGCTGCAGTGGCGGGCGACTCCAGGGGCGGCTGCTGCAGTGGCGGGCGGCTCGAGGCGCGGGCTGGCCTGGCGCAGTCCGTACGGGCCGCGCGCGGGCCTGGCGCAGCCCGTACGGGCCGCGCGCGGGCCTGGCGCAGCCCGTACGGGCCGCGCGCGGGCCTGGCGCAGCCCGTACGGGCCGCGCGCAGGCTGTACGGGCCGCGCGCGGGCCCGACGTAGGTCGTGTGGGCCACGACGGGCGACGGGGGGCGACGCGCGGGTCCCCGTCGCCCGTCGCAGCGCCTCCCGGGGGCGACGCGCGGAGTGACGGGGCAGAAAGCCGCCGCGCGCCTCGGGGCGCACGGCGGGCAGAAAACCGCCGCGCGCCTCAGGGCGCACGGCGAGCAGCAGAAAACCGCCGCACGCTCCGAGCGCGCGGCGGGATGGAAAAATCCGTCGCACGCCTCGGGGCGTGCAACACACAGAGTAGCAGTAGCAGCGGAAGCAGTAAGGTGGTGGGCCCATTGAGGTAAGCGGCAGGAACGTGCTCGCTCTAGATACCATGTCAGGAATACTAGGAGTGGGGCCTAGGCTTAGTAGCCTAGGCCCACACATAGAGTAGGTAGGTTGTGCCCTAGAGCTAGGGTTTGGGGTATACGAAGGAGAATTGGAGAAGAGAGAATGGAGGATGATTGAACTAGCAAGCAGGTTGGTACAAATAGGAAACCCTAAAGGGGTTGTACTCACTATTGAGCACCCCACTGCAGGCTAGACAAATAACATAATCTGACAAACCTATCACGGATGATCACACGATTATGACGGATTGTCACACGTTGGCGCATAATTCTATTACGTATGATGATACAATAAAGTCTAAATAGAAATTTGAAACTAAGTGAGTGACTGTATAGATTCATGAGATGTTATGTCGCGCCCAAAAATTAGAAAAAAAAAAGTTTGAGACCACCTTTCCGACTTTGTTTTAAACATATACAATTCTGTCTTATCCCGCAACTTATTTACAACCGAGCGGGCCGTGAATCAAAGCCTTTTGAATCGATATTTAATTTTATAGATGGATACGAATAGCTTAATTCTTATGGATTGCATTTTCAGCGTATCGTACGCAACAAATATGTATATAAAAACGTTCATATTCGTAAAATTCAGTATCAACACAAAACATCTTTTTCTTTGGACTTTAGTGTTGATGTCCCCCTTCGAATGGCATGTCATCCGAGTGGGTTCTGGTTTTAATTTTTATTTATTCAAAAGTGAAATCCTACCAGGTAAACTCCTATAAGCTTTGCCTTCGCGACTCGCTATGAAAATAATCAAACTACATATAATAGCACAAAATTGATCGTGGGTTAAAGGTCCATAAACAGTTTAAGGCCGTTTTAGCTTGCAAGCCACACATTTTGTCTTGTGACGAAACATGATTATTTTGTGGGGTAGCTGTGATAGAATCCCGAATTTTGTGACCATCCTTGATAGACTCCTAGATTTTTGTGACTGTTTGTGATAGCCGAGTGACTATTTATGATAAACAGCCCTTGTTTGTGACCCGTCTGTATAATAACCCTGCAATCTTGCCCTCAACCACCCTCGACTAATAGCTTCCTCCCAGTCAAGCTTTTCAATTTCAACCTTCTCTTGCCATGGCTGCCACGCAACCAGTTTCGTGCGACGCACGCCTCCGCCACATGAAGCTTGTGCGACCCGCTTCTCTTGTGCTAAATCCTGCTCCATTAGCGCATGATTTTGATTAGTACTTAGGTTTTCTCAACATTGTTCGTCCCAGCATTGACTCTTCTCTTCGTTCATGTCCTTCGCTCATCTTTTCTCACGCCCCTGTCGCTCCCCATTTTTCAAAATACATAACAATATATCCTCTCGGGTTTTACTAGATTATCTCCGAGCATTCTTCGTTGAGTACTAGAAAAATGGCAAACGAAAGTGGTTCGGCGTCGTCGTCGCACGCCGGAAGTACACCGCCTACCACAGCCCTTTCGCGCCCCGGCGATTCTGAGCGAGCGACCCCCCCGGAGCGCCAGATCCGCGCGTCGTTCACCGACTCGACGGTGCGCGTGTATCAGGCGTACAGCCGCACCATCGCCGCTCCCGCCGCGCAATGCCACAATTTCGCGAGCAGCCCGGGATTCAAGCTGGGCCGGATGACGTGGATCAAGCCGTCCTTCTGCTGGATGGCGTACCGCGCGGGGTACTCGTTCAAGGACGCCAATCAGGAGCGAATCCTGGCCGTAGATCTAAAACGAGAATGCTTCGACCGTATTCTTGAATCAGCAGTTTTAGCGCATGATCAGAGCGACGCATCAGCGAACGCGGCGAGGACGGGCAACAACGACACGCATCACCTTGCTATCAGGGGAACCCGTCCCGACAGCAACAATCGCAGAAATGCGAGTCAGGTGGTGGTGCAGTGGGATCCGGAGCGCGACGTGCTGTTGAATCGCCTCAACTACCGCTCCATTCAAATCGGGCTGCGAGGCGACGTCGCGGCGGCGTACGCACGGGGGGAGTACATCGAGCGCATCGCTGACGTCACCGAGCTGTTTCGCGAGGTGCACCGGCTGGGCGTGCGCGAGGGGAGGGTGGAGGAAGCGGCGAGGCTGCTGCCCGCGGAAGAGGAGTACCCCGTGGCGCCAGCCGTGCGCACCGCGCTGCGCATGGACGCTCCGCTCGCGGGGGAGGTAGTCGCTAGCTGAGCGGGTTTCATCCGCGCGGTGCGCGGTGGTTGGTTGATATCCATGCCTCCCTGCTTGCAATAACAAGTTGTCTGCCCTCGGGGATCTCTAGGGCTTGGAAAACTAGTCCGCATGCAACCACACGGCATGCAATGTATCTATTCTGTTTATCTAATAATAATAATGATAATAACTATTATGATGAAACAGAGCACTCAAGCGCGAATGCTCGTACGGTATTTGAAAAGAAAGAGGGAATTTACTGAAGGGTAAGGGTGGAGATGACGAAAGCTCAATCGTAAGCAAGGAGCAGGCGAGAGAAACTTCGGCGCTTCAAGCATGCTGTTGGTCAGAGTGTGGCTCCGCGTCAACGCGTCTGGCAGCACTGAAGCGCCTGGCGGTATGAACATGTGGTGAGGTAGACACGTGACACCTGCCGACAGTACTAGTGCAAGGCTCGGCAGCATGAGGCGGGTCAGAGGCGCAGCTCCACATCAACACGCCTGGCAGCACTGCAGGGTGCATGCGAGTCCGTGGGGCTGGGGGGCCGCGCCTCTGTGCTGCTGCCCACCGCATCCGCCCTGCTCCTCACTCCGCCCGCGCCCTCCCACATGCCACCGGCCTGCAGGAAAGCACCGGGAAACGCCATGGAGGAACCAGCAGGAGCGGCGGCTGCAGTCACTGTGGACACCTCAGGGGCGCTGTGAGCCGGCCCAAACCGCAGCTGCTCTCGCCCCCCTCCACACTCCTCTCTGCTTCCCGCTACACCTGCTTCCTCACCTCCACCTGCTGCTGCCCTTGTCCCTACACCAAACCGCTCAGCCTCATTCCCTCCACCCCCCTCCCCGCCAACAATTGCTAATGCCTGTTTCCCCTCCGAACCTTGCCCCCCCTGCTGCTCCACACCTGCTCCCCCCTGCTGCTCGGCCCGAGCAGCCTCCTGCAGCTGCAGCACGAGGCGCAGCGCCACACACGACAGCGACAGCGCCAGCGCTGCCGTGCTGCTGCGCCCGCCCCGTGCGCCCCCCTGCCCCGCTTCCTCCCCTTCACTCCCCATTCCTCCCGCGCCCTCTCGCACGCTCCCGCTTCCCCCCTGGTTCTCGCCCTGGCTGTTGCCGTGTTCCTGGGTGCGGTT